CCGCTTACGAGCTACATGACCTTAGGCAAGTCACTTACCCTCTCAGAATCTGTTTCCACAGTTGTAGAATGGAGATAATCATATCAAACTCAAGAAATGCTCATTACTGTGAATGATCATGAAAACTCTTCAATGACTTCTTGCTATTTTACAAGGCTTTTCATATCTTACATACTTCTCTTAATATTACTTAGCAAATTTCTAGCTATTCTGAACATTTTTAGTCCTCTCTTATTTGTGTGCTCCTATAGCACCCTGTACCTTTTACCACTGCATTGTAATCTCCCTATTCACTTATCTGTATATTCTACTGGGTCTGAGGACATGTTGAAGGCTGTGATAATGAAGGAGTCTAAGTTGGACAAGAAGTACAAAGAAAACAGAAAGGGTTAAACAGTGGTAGGGAGTTTCAATGGAAGAAAATGTTGAAGGTGAGGTAACCAAAATTCTCACTGGCCAGGGCGTTGGATCATCCACCAGAACACTGAAGATACTGAGAATACGAAAAAATCAGAGATGGCAAAGTGTGCTTTAGGAAGTGAGGCCTTCAGGAAATCAAAGGAGTGACTAGTGACAAGAGTAGAGGTAACTGATAGTATAACTTCTTGGCACAGGCTGCAAAAGGGGCAGATTTTTGTCAGAAGCTTTGGGAGAAATTATTTAGAAATTACAATAGAGAGGAAGGGCAGCAACCACCATCTCCTGAGATACATGGAATGTGGACACAGCCCACACTGGTGACAGCTACAGGCTATGGCAGGCCTTCAGGTGACAGCCGAATTGGTTATGGCAAGGCAGTTAAGAGAAAAATCATAAGAACAACATGCAGCCAAGCATGGATTAGGGAGGAGAGAGGGAGGGTAGGCAATTGGGAGTGACTAGAATACATATAGAAGGGAGACAAGTGAAGGTGAAAACGGAGGACAAGGGAAGTTTGCACTTAAGACTGCAGAACAGATAAGCTTCTTGGACACTCCCTTTCTGAAATCTCACCCTTCCCATCAAACTTACCACTGTCTCCCCTAAATGACTAACGTCCATTCTGCCTCCTGTCTCGTAATATCACCATTATCCTGGTTACCCAGGCTTGAGAAATGGACTCAGCCCTTACTCCTATAACCACTCAGACACTGAATCTTGAGTCTTCCTTTGAAATGGCTCCAGCATCCCCTCCTTCCTCATTCCTGTGGCCACCACCTGAAATCAGTTCTCGTAATTTTATGTCTAGATTACCGTATCAGTCTCCCAAATAGCCTACCTGATTAGTGTCACTTCAGCTTAGTCAGAAGGCTTTTGAGGTACATCTGTTTCAGACTGCCAAGTCCACTGTGAAATTTATGTTTCTTCCTTTGCAAAACAGAGACAATACTACTTTCCTCTGAAGGACCATGGTAAGGAATGTGACATTTTTGTAAGGTTCTTAGCATGTCTGTTAGTAGGTAAGAATTCCTGAGTTTTGAAAACTTGATTATAACCCTTTTGAAGTATGGGACCAGATCTTTTATACTACTCTACCCCACATACACTTACAAAACACGATGAATATTTGTTGGAATAGTCTGATGAAGGCCAAAATAAGAGGGATATTTTACAACACAACACTCTTCTTCACATAAAAAGAGTCGAGCTTTGAGAACATAAAAGCAGCCTTCAAATCCATTCAAAAAGAAAAAGCAGCCTGGGAAATGTGGTATGCCAATCAAGAAAATAATACCTTGAGCATCCGAAGATAACAATCTGTTTTTCTTTCCCCAGAGCAGCCCTGAGAACACCAATACGGGACTGAAAACACAAAAAGACCAAGTGAAAAAGCAAAGCTTAGCTCTGCTTTAGTTGTTGTTTCAGCCTTACCCCTCTTCCAGTTTGGTTTGGACTGCCTCTGGCTCAGAAGATCCTACTGCCTTTGGGGAGCTCAGAAAAGCCAAAATGGAGCCTACAGGAAGAGGAAAAAAAAGAGAGCTGGCTACTAAGGGCTGGCCCCAGGCAGAAAAGATTTAAGAAAAGGCAAGATTTTCTAACTAAAAACAGAAAATGTAGTGTAACAATGGGCTACTTCATAGTGCAAGTAAAACTATGTAAAAAAAAATCATTTGGATATCCTATGTAGATGTTTCTGGAACATATGAGATACATATATTTGAAACAGACATCCCAGGAAAGTCTCTGCCCATTATCTCCAAATCAGTTTCCCCAGCTCACCAAGGTCAGAAGGTGGAGGGTCTTAATGCAGATGTCTGCATAGAGTTAAATAGCACATATTCTTAGAAACTATGGTTAGACAGTTCTTCTCATACCAAATGGTTACAGTATAACTTAGTAAAACCACTTGGAAAAATGATATGAATCAAAAGCTACAAAGTATTTACATCCTTGACTCAGAAATTCACCTCTAGGAATTTATTCTAAGGAAATCATTTATGCACAAAGACATGAACTGTAACACTGCATCATGAGATGCAGCCTAAAATGTCCAACAGGGAAAGGTAACAGGAAGCATGGCACATCCATACAGCATAGTTTTTAATGACATGGAATAATGCCTGCAGATTGAGAAAAAAATCAAGGCACAAATTATACAGAGAATGAATGAAACTATGTAAAATCGCAGACAAATAGCTAAGACTGGCAAGAAATATGCAAAAATATTAAAGTGCCCTTTTCCCCTTTTCTGTATTGTCTAGATTTCCCGCAATAAGCATGTACTACTAAACACAAACAGAAAAAAACCATTATTGAGTCAGGCAAGCATTAAAGAATGGGCATTTATATTTAGCCTAATCTGTTTCTCCCAGGAATTGGAGCGTGGTTCTTAACAACAAAAAAGCGGGGGCTTACAAACCAGTCATTCTTAAAAAAGCAGAGGAAGTATTAAATTCTTTCCACAAGTTTCACCATATTCGTGTAGAACTGCAGCAGAAAAGATGGTGAATCAGGTTCAGACATCAATCACCAACCTAAATGACAACTCCATGCTCCCACAAGACACAGATCCAGGGTCACAAAATACGTCAGACCCAAGTTTAAATGGCATACTGCTCTACATTTTCCAAGATGAAAAAGATTAGGAAAATAAAAGCGTTTACTTGGGGGCGGGGGGGTGGGGAGAGACTTTTTTTTTTTTTTTTACACCCACTGGGGGCTAGAGAGAAATGAAAGACAAAGCTGAGAACTAATGCTTTATAAAATTCAACTTTACTTAAAAAGACAAAATGTAACAATAAATACTTTTTTGGCAGAAGAAAAGCAGACAACTCTGTTACTAAATGACGGATGTCCAAGATTCGTCTGAAGGCAGAATGGTTCACAGGTCAGAATCCAAAGTCAGAATAGTCTCTGTGGAATATCATTCATCTAAAATCCAACATCTTAGCTTTCTTCAAATTCTTTAAGTTTCTACCCTAGGGAAACTT